GGAACAAAGGGCATCGCTACTAGGAGCAAGGACGCTACTAGGGGCTCCTGGCCTTTCTACTAGGAGCAAGAAGCTATTAGGAACAAAGGGCATCGCTACTAGGAGCAAGGACGCTACCTGAGAGCAAGAAGCTACTATATAGGAACAAAGGGCATCGCTACTAGGAGCAAGGACGCTACTAGGGGGCTCCTGGCCATACTACTAGGAGCAAGAAGCTACTAGGAACAAAGGGCATTGCTTTAAAAAATGAAACGAAAAACGGCACTGCCTTCTGGGACGCTTTAGATCCCGGAGCCCCATGGCAGCCGAGACCTCGACTCCTGGAAGAGCGCTGATGACACGAGCTATGCAGTGTTTGAAACGACTCCATCCGCACAAGTCGCCCCACAACTTGCAACGATGGCCTCCATTATACTACTAGCGATGGCCTCCACCTACTAGCTTCGTGCTACTAGTAATGCCAAAGGGCCAGGAACTGAAACAGGTGGCCACGACAAAGACTGGATTGCGATCCTCTGGACTCGGCGGGGGGCGTCCAAATCGGAGTCGATGGCCTCCCTGCAGCATCGATGGCCTCCCTCAGAATGTCCCAACCTGCAACATGTGAACGAAGTGGCAGGGCGCTCGGATGCAGCCGGAAACCAAAATTGACCTCGGGCTACGGGATGTGCTACGCCTCTGGAGCCTACTACCGTGCAAGTTACATATCTGCTAAATGTTATATACGAAAGGCTGAATGGAAGCAGCAAACCGGCCAAATGCGGCAACGACGACAGCAGGAACTAGAAGAAAATCCCTTGGCCTTGGCCTCAACTTGTCTTGAGAATATATACCAGGATATCGCTATTGGGTTGGAGGCCATCGCCAGTAGTATGTTGGAGGCCATTGCTTGTAGGTTGGAGGCCATGTCTAGTAGGTTGGAGGCCGGGGCTAAATTAGGTTGGAGGCCATCGCTATTGGGTTGGAGGCCATCGCTATTAGGTTTCTTATTGAATACATACCAAAACACTTTTCAAAACCCACACACCTCGTGTCGCATCTGCAGGGCAGGTAGCCGCCAATCCACTGAGAACTGCTTGGTAGCGGACATGTACCGCGCCACTCGCTACAGCCTGCGGCCATAGCGAAGGGGATCCCTCTTTCTCAGTTTCAGAGCATTCAAGTCGAAGGTTGCAAGGCTTCGAGAGGTTTGTCAAGTACGCAAAAGAGCACTTTCTGAAACCTTTCTTTCTTTCTTTTCGTTAAGAAGGCACCCTGGCACCCTGCATAAGCCTGACAGAGTCATGGCGTTTCGACTGAACGCCGGCCTCACCGCACCCGGGAGGGACGGCCAGCAGTGCAGCTGCCCGCTGTTGACTAATGATGCCTTCCTCTTCGTCCAGCACATAAAAGAGTTCCACCAACCTCGGAAATGCCAAGTGTTTTTCATGGGACCAGGTTCGGGAGAAAACATGAGACACAAGTGTCAAAGGATACACTTCTTTCAAAAAAAAGCTCCAAGAGGCTGAAATATGCAAGAACGCTACGTTCGGGGCTCCTGGCCTTACTACTAGTAGCAAGAAGCTATGTCACAAAAAGGCACCCGCATCTGCCTAAAGCCGGGCAGCTGCTGGGCCCCGAAAGCGTCTTGCGTGAGCATCTTGTCGACAGCCTCCCCGGCAGCCTGGCACACATAAAGGGTGACCTAGCGTTGTGCTACAAAAATCACCCAAAACACACACACACAAAAAAAAAAAAAGAAAGAAGAAGGCTATAGGCCTTGCAAGTGCTTGGGCTCTTGCTTCAAGAGCGCTTTGGGAGGCAACAATTATTGCCCGATCTTGCCAGAAAGGTGTGGTGCTATGCAGTGCTTTTTTCGCTCCCACCGCCTGAACACGGCTACGGGCCGCTTCGACCTGGTGCTCACCACGGCGGGGGGCCAGCAGGGTCTCAATCGCCTGAAAGGCACAGAAAACGAAGCACTCTGTCACACTCTGTCTGTCAGATCCTCGACTCGGATCAACGCTAGTGATGAAGCGAGCGGATCACCCTTCGTTCGTCGGTCGATGAGTGCGAAGCGATTGGATTGGACAGGGACGACAGGAGCAAATAGGAACGAAACCTCTCAGGACGTGGCGACAGACTCCTTAGGACTACAGGATCGGATGAGCCTACGGCCTACTAGAAACCCCACCAGGTAGACACAGGCCTGAGAAAGAAAGAAACACAAAACCTTTCGCTGAAGGGTTTCCACTTCTCAAGCGGTCTGGCCTCAACAGCTTTCTGCCCGGCACCTGGCCCAGCAGCCAGGGCCTCTGCCCTTGAGAGGCCCAAGGCAGAAAAGGGATGGGCCGCGCGCAGTGCCTCACGAAGATGACAACGAACAAATTTACGAACATGTTCTTCGATTTCTTCCACCCTACTAGCGATATGGCCTTCAACCTAGTAGCAATGGCCTACAACCTAATAGCTTCCAACTACTAGCGATGGCCTCCAACCTAAGAGCGAACATGTTCTTCTGACAAACAGTCTGGCCTAAGACCTTCTGCGCCACTTGACCAAAACACTCCCCCTTACAAGCATGTTTCTGAAGGGCTTCAGTGGCTTCAGTTTAGAATGCCTCACAAAAACGTTCTTCAGAACCCATTTTAGTGAGGTCTCAGGTCTGGAATGGGGACCTTTTGCAGGCAACGTGTTTCCTTTTTAAAAAGCAAACACGCCCTTAATATGCCTTTTTGTGGCAGTACAATGATGAAATGCTAAGTGGCTAGCTGATTGCAACGAAGAAATTACGACAAAAAAGGCTGCAAAACCATCTGGCAAGAACACGAGGTTTGTACACGCTGTTTCTTGGGCAAGGTCCGCTTCAAGGGTGCATTTTGAAATTTTTTGGGATGTGAATTCCAAATGTCTAGCAGAAGTGCTTTTCCGCACCCCATGTTACTCCACACCTTCAGTCAGAACTTCTGACATTGACACATGTTTGAATATCAGCGTTCTATTCCCCACTAGTAACTAGTAGGTTGGAGGCCATCGCTAGTAGGTTAAAGGCCATCGCTAGTAGGTTGGAGGCCATTAGGTTAAAGGCCATCGCTAGTAGGTTGGAGGCCATCCCTATCAGATTTATCAGGTTGGAGGCCATCGCTATTAGGTTGTTGGAGGCTGGAGGCCATAGCTAGCAGGTTGGAGGCCATCGCTAGTAGGTTGGTGGCCATCGCTAGTAGGTTGCACGCTATCGCTAGTAGGTTGGAGGCCATCGCTAGTAGGTTGGAGGCCATCGCT